TTAAATTTTTTTATCACAATAATTTTTGTGGTTTAAAATAATTTTTTTATAATAAAAATTACAATCGATAAAATCAATGTCAAAATCTCATCTATTTCTAATTCCTCTGCTATCATATGTTATTTACAACGTCGCTCGACCGCTCCTCACATATAATACTTCATATATAAAATTTATAATTATTTGAAAAAATTCAATATTAATTGAATAAATTTAATCTTAATTTCGATAAAATTAAATATTAATTTAGTTTTAATTTGATAAAATTAAATATTAATTTACTATTAATTTGATTGAATTTAATGTTAATTGAATAAATTTGAATGTTCATTTGGTGTTAAATTAAAGAAATGACTTTAATTTGATAAAGTTAAATTTTAAATTATATTAAATAGTTTAATTTAATAAAATTGAATGTCAATTTGATGTTGATTTGATAAAAATAAATAATAACTTAATATTAAATTAAATAAATATTATTAATTTGATGAAATTAAATATTAAATTAATATAACTAAACACTAATTTGATAAAATTAAATATTAATTTTGTGTTGATTTGATGAGATGAAATGTTAATTTAGTTTAAATTAAATAAAGAAAATTAATTTGATAAAATTGAAGATTAAATTGATCAAAATAAAGGCTAATATAATAAACTAAAAGGGAATGCATTGAAATTTCAGAATTAAGAGATGGTGTTGTTAAAGTTAGGTCTATTTACAAGGAGTATTATTAAAGTTTGGTCTATTTACGAGGAGTATTATTAAAGTTAGGTTTATTTATAAGGATGTGGATAAAATTTACCTATAAAATACTTGGGGATATTTTTATAAATCAACCATCGCCATTAACTATGTAACTTGAGAATCACTAACAGTGAGTGACAACGAAATTTCAAAATCGGAAGGAGATGTCATTGAATTTAGACCTAACTACAAGGGATCTAGATGAAATTTTACCTGATATCTATACAAATATGTATAATAAAACACATAAGAAGTTGAATTAATTTGTAAGTCCCCTATATTGCTGTACATTTTCCCCTATACTGCTATATAAAACACATAAGTCTCCTATACTGCTATGCATTTTCCCCTTAAAATTATCATATCACTCATTTCTATCACATGCTCAACCATTTAATATTTGATTAATTTGTAATTTAACATAATTTTTATTTCAGATATTATCCATACATGATAATATAGATTTGTTAAAAAAATTTATCGAATTTCATATTTTGAGAAAATTTTGTCACTATCTTTAAGAAAATAATGGGTAAAAATAAATTTTGAATGATTTAATCAAATAAATAAATGAAAGAAAAATTATTATTTAATATAGTGATATAGATTTTTTAAGACTCAAATTTTTTGTTCTATCGTGCCTTCAGGCACGGGTAATGACTAGTATATATATATATATATATATATGAGGTTCTCGTCACTATCTAGTAAAAAAGAGTGAGATATATGGAGCTTCATCTGACATGAGAAGAGGCTGGTTCGCCACTAAACACGATGCCTAAGGCACAAAAAGATAACCAAGCTAAAGATGTGTGAGAATACGCATCCATCATAGCAATGACAATCCCTTAGTCCACTGGAGATCAACAAAATGAAGAGAGAAAGATAACTGATTAACAGAGAGAATTTTATTGAATAAACCTCCAAAAATTACAAGAATCAAAAAACAGCAACTGTTTTAACAGAAAACAGTTACTGTTTTATCAAAAAAAACAGAAAAACTGTTACAGTATAAAACAGAAAAAACTGTAACTGTTTTCTGTTACAGAATTCAGTTAAAAAAACCAGTCAAAACAGTTAAATTCCCTCCTGTATAGCTGCTGAAATTTCTGAACCAGCTGCAGAAACAATCTGCCATAGAGTGCATCCATACAGCAGCATCTCTTCAACTCCTGTATAGCTGCTGAAATTTCTGAACCAGCTGCAGAAACAATCTGCCATAGAGTGCATCCATACAGCAGCATCTCTTCAGCTTCTAGCCTTAGAAACCCAAACCACCATTCTTCTCAACCTTGCAGAAGGCCTTCAATTCTGATCCTGGAATAAGAGTAATGCCTTACTCCAGAAACCAGCAAAACAACTTGACTCCAGAACCCAACAGACAAGCAGACACCAGCTTTACTCAATAACCCTGCAGTATATTCAAAGCATTATGACATCAAATAAGCATTCCCAAATTGCCATCAACCTTTGTCATCAAAAATTAACACCTCCTCTTCCTGACCATAGGCAAGCCTCTTAGATCCTGCAACAAGGACTAAGGAATTTGATTCAATCAGAATTCTGTTCATACCCAAGCCATATTCTTCTATCAACCTCAAACCATCAAGAAAAGCCCTAAATTCTGCTTCCATATTGGTAAAGGTACCATAGAAACCCAATTACCATTCTCCCCCCATCATTCCTCACTATAATACCTCCACCAGCAGGCCCTGGATTACCCTTAGCTGCCCCATCCACATTGACCTTCAAGAGGCCAGCATCTGGGCACTCCCAGCATACCTATAAAGCTTTGGTAACAACCTTATAAGACAAATCAACTCCTAACTGCTGTAACCACAACCTGCTAACATCATTTTCCTGCACTTTAGGCTTAATATTCCTTGCTTGGCATCTCAAAACACTACTTATCGGAAAGTACCTGAAGTTCTGGATATCTTTTCGAGGACCAATTACATTTGGCATCAGTCACTGGACATGGACCTCAAAGCTCAGTGCAGGCTTCAGTTATGTTATGGTGTGTGTATCTTCCACTTATTAATGCTTTTGTTGAGCTCAGTCTGCTTGGCCATAAATCAAACAGTTGGTGGGCAGTGGGCAATACAAATGTTATCACAGATCAACACAAATCATCAAGATATCACAGCATGAGCAATAACCAATTTCATTGACTCGTCCAAAAGATGGGACATACATTTACCACAGCATTAGATTATAACTGCAAACTTGCGGTACCAACTATTATTCAATATAATGAAGTTCGGAACTTTCACACCACTCAAAATAGAAATTTAGTGGTACTACCTACCTCCAAGAAGGATGCATTTTCAGGATCCTCCAAACTCCTCAAAGGACCATTATCTATTCTGAATCCATTGCTCCAGAAAATGATGTCGTGAGTAACAGCTTCAGGTCGCTGAGGAGCAGAGATGGCATTGTTTCTCCAGAAAGAAGTCTCGGCGGTAATCGTCGAGGTGATCGGTGTCGTCTGTGGATGTCGGGGAGGCAGGATGCTGATCGCGAAAAAAAAAGTGTTTTATGAAAAGAAAAAGTAATTTTATTTTACTCATACTTATTAACTTATTTAAGTGTTAAAATTAGTTTTATTTATTTAAAAGTGTTTTTGAGAAATTATCTCAAACACTACTTCTTCTTCTTCTTTTCTTTTTTTTTCTTTTTTTTTTTTTTGAGGAAAAAGAACTTATGATAAGTCAAAAACTCTAAAAATAATTTTTATTTTAAGTCATTCCAAACAAACTCTACTGATAACTAAGCAGTGGTCAGCCATAACAAAGGTGGCCAACACCACTTTGTGTGAGAGCAGAGACTGTGTGGACTCGATATCTAAACTCAATGGTAGTTGTTGGGCCCAATACAATCCAGGCCGAATGACAAATCGGTGAGTATGGGTATCATATCTTTTTGTAATTTTTTTTTCTCTTTTTTTTTTTTATTTTTAATTAAGTTACCTATCACGCATTACCGAGAAAATCACGTATATACAATGAGTTTTAATTAAATCCCTAAAATATAATATATCAAGAAATAAATTAAATGAAAAATATATTGCAGAGTATCCCCTCCACTCCACAAGTATATGTCAGGAATGTATTACTCCGTTTTTTCATTTTTAGTAATATTATTAAGATTTAATTTGTTGACCTATGTTGTGGTTTCATTGTAATTATCAGATTAATGCTAAGTTCTAATATTTAGTTGGACTTATAGCCAATTAAAAAATTATAGTGAATTAAGTCAACAAATTACGTCTTAATAACATTATTCTTTCTCTTATGTTCAACAAAAAAAAATGATAATATTTTTTTCCTTGAAATAAGAAAATATATTAGGATAAATATAATTATGTAGAAGCTTGGGGCTTATCACGAGTAAATATTGTGTGTAACCGTTATACTATATCAGCATTGTTAACATAGTGTAATCATTTAATAAAAAAATAACAAAAATATAAGGCACACGGGATTATCTATTAAATGATCGGATGATTATGAGTTTTAATAAAATTTATTTATTGACTTATTTATTTATTAGTGGACCGTCCGACGTGAACCATTCACTTATCACGTAGTAGGAATTCCGCGTTAAATCAGCAAATAATTAATCTAATGTGACACCTTCCCCAGAAATGAGATCCACCAGTTTAGACTTGTAGAGAGAATGTAACGACTCTTCTAGGGTGGACCTACCTAACCTTCATTACGACACCGTTTCCATGACATTTGTCTTCTTTTTTTAATCTAAGATACTGAGGTTGATGTGGTCAAAGCAAAGCATAAAGTTACATCAATTAAGAATCGAAAAAAAATCACTAATGACCATGGAAAGTTGAAAAGGTTTTGATTTTCTTCCTCTTTTTCGGCCAACGCTATCCCCCTCGGGGATTCGGATTTGGATTCCTTTCATTGCTCATTTCCTTCAATTGCCTTTAATACAATATTAAATGAATGACTTAAGTAAGATTCTGAATTTTAATAGACAATATTTTTCTTGTGAAAAATTTTTTAATAATGGTTAACACTTCATCAACAATAAAATAAAAAAAAAAATCTTGTTTATTGAAATTCAAAATTTTACACGTGTTACTCCTCTAACACTACATTAAAAAGAAAGAATAATCTAAATCCCACTTCGGAAGCACATGACTTTCCCTTGTCCATTCACTTCCACTAGCCCCACACCACCCATACAAATTATTCATCCCACTTGCACCTAGAGAGAGAGAGAGAGAGAGATGGAACCACCGCCGGCCCAAGCCATAGAGAGAAGCACCCTCCGGAAGATGATGAACAAGATAAAATTGTCAATGAATGGTAGTAGAAAACAATACCCATCTTCATCTTTTTTCAGAAGTCTATGCTCTCTTTTATTTTCCAGTGATTTTCTTGATTTGGGATATTTTGTTTTTTTTGTTTGATGCAGTTGCTCGTGCTGTTATGACTGCACAGATAGCTGTTTGGATTATTTGTGCTGTTTGGACCTCTGTTAGTACTGTTGAGGAATTTAAAGATCTATCTGATGTTCTTGTCAGGAATATAATACTTTTGGTTTAGAGACATGTTGTTGTTTGGATTCATAATTCTGATTATATGATAGTATGTGGGAAGACACTGCTCTTGTAGTTTGGCTATTCCCATCTTTTCTTTCTAGTTCACTAATATTGTGAGGAATTATGAAATATTGATCGGGTTTTCATGCAAGCAATGGACTATGCCTACTACCATCTATCATTTGGGATTAATGCTATACGAAGACACGCATTTCAGAAACTTTTTGTAATTGCAAATTTATACCAACATGGTTTGTCATATCGATAACTAAACTTTGCAAAACAACTTCATCCCTAAATATTGTTTTCCCAGAAGAAATTAAACATGTTTTGATTTGGGATCTGCGAATCCATCCAAGCCCACAGCTCCAATCTTCTGCCTAGAGAAGGGAGCAATGGTGTGGCTCACCACCAGCGAACGCCAAGGGGCATCAACCATCCACAAAATGTCACAAATTGAACCACCATCACACTCACCTAACTCTAGGGTGCAACTCGGACGGATTGAGAGATTAACCCTACCTCAAATTTAAGTATATAATTTTTAACCCTAATTTAACCCGAGGTATTCAAACTGAGTACTGCCCCAGTTTAATTCGAACGGGTTCGAGTTGAATTTGGGTTACTTAATTCGAACTAATTTTATGTTAAAAATCGAGTTGTGCTCGGATTACTTAATTTGGTTGATAAAAAAAAGAGAAGTAACACGTAAGAGAGGAACGTTAAGAGTTTGAGACAACTCAGACGAAGGAGATAGGGAGGCAGAGAGTCTGAGACCAGATGAGAGACGAGTGACGAGTGAGAGAAAGATTTGAGAGTGATGGAGGTGCAAGAATGAAGACTTAAAGTGAAGTGAAGGTCTGGACTTTGAAGAGTGAAGATAATACTAACCCTAGTTAAATATATTTATATATTTATGTATATTCAAGTTCAACCTAATTTTAATATTCGAATTGAACCCGACAACCCGAAAAAATTAGGGCTTGAACAAGAGTTTTTAACATTTGGATTGGGCTTGGGTCAAAAATCTTCAACCCGAATTTAATTTGGGTTGGCTCTGGTTAAGACCTTGGATTCAACCCTAACCCGATTTTTTTAAAAAAAAATTATATATATATATATAAAGCATTAACATTGGTTTTTCATTTTTGTTATATCGTTCTCTGTCTCTCTCTTTCTCTTAGTTATGAAAAAAAGACAATATATGGATTATGTTTTATGGTGTAATTATTCCCCCCTCTCTTTGTCTCTCTCGCAGTGGACTGGTGGCAATGATTTTTATGCTCTGATTATGATTTTTATATTAAAAATTTGGTTGAAGTTATTGGTTCTTAATTTATGTGAATATTATATAATATATGTATTAGGTTTAGAACAATAAGCTTATTTTGGACTCAACCCAAATTAAACTCGTAAAGTAACCCGTAATCAGTCCGAAATCATTAACTTGAATTCAATCCGAGCCCACCCGAATTAAACTAGGGCAGTGCTCGGATTGAGTTCTTCAACTCGAGGTAGGGTTAGGGTTACAGTTAGGATTGGGCTAAGGTTGACTGTCCAACCCCGCCCGACTCGCCCGAGTTGCGCCTCTAAACCCGAGGTATCAATCCGAGGCTTGTTTGAATTCAATTCGGATTGAGATTTTTTTGTCCAGCCTCAACTCAAGTATTAAAAATTCTAACTCAAACCCTGTCTTTTTCTAGTTGAATTCGGGTTGGTTCGTCCAAATTACACCCTTACCTGACTTGGTGATTCATCCTCTCACGATACTCCCTCTTAACAACAACAGGTAATATAACAAACGACGAATATGTAATAACGGATTTGAGAGAATTAAGTGACGATCAAATTTACCTCTATTTCAGAGAAATGAATTCCCGCAACCTGACCCTTAAATTATCATTTGGAAAACTGGTGCAGGGAAAAACATCATCAAATTGTGGTTGATTTTGGAACGAAATGGGCGCTGTTATGTGTAATGTGGGGGCGGCTAAGTGGACTCTTCCTGGTGTTTGGAGCATCTTTGCCAGGCGAGCCTCACGTAGCCGTCATTGATCGATCGTGACTCAAACATATTTTTGAATCAAACTTCCAAAAATAGCCATCATTGATTGATTCACAGTACTCACTTTTCGCTTGTTCTGGCAAGCCCCAGCTGGGTTAATCGTAACAATAATTATGGGTATGACTCTGATTCAAAAAAAAATTATGTGAATCAAGAACGCAGTAAGAATCTTCTTGCATTACGTATGCCTCATGTATATGTAATTTGTCAGTGATGCCACTTTCATGCCTGTGGACTCCCCTTTCATTGCTGTGAAATTTTGTCCAAAGCCATCATTGGTAGGTTGCTTGGTTTGAATTTATACTCTCTTTTTCTTTTCTTTTTTCTGAATGTTTTCCTCCTGATGATATCTCAATTCTCAATACTTTTTTCCTTTAATTTGTCTCATTGGGAAAAAAAATGGTAACAACTTTTTTTGTAGCCATTACTAGTTCTTTTTTTTTTTCTTATACTTAATAGTCATAGTGCCTCAATGTCTTCAAATTGGTTCCATATCCAATGACCATATATGGAATGCTAGGGATCAAAATTGAATAGGAGAAGGGCTAACCATAACTGCACTCTGATTTATATGACTGGTTTTTAACCTTTTCTTATTTGTCCTTTACTCTCTCTCTGTCTTTTGTTCTTCTTAATGTCTTTTAATTTTGCAATATGTGACATTCTACATGTATGCCACAATATTACTCATATGACTTCTCTGATCCTATGTGATGGGTCAGGTCCAAGGGTCCTATTCATGTTATAAGTCTAATTTGAATAAAAAATTTAACTAGACAAGATCCAATGGATTCAACCCAAAAAAGGTTCACGCCCTGTCAAACTCATTAAGAATTGAGGAGCTACATCACCAAGGGAGTAGGTAGTGTCATCCTAAGAGTCTCATCCAAACCACCTTGGAGTAAGGGTCTCCAAGAGCCTCATCCAAGCCACTTTGGAAGAAGTCAATCACCACGTCATCCTTTGATCAATTCTTATGGGGAGTGTTGTAACTGTCTCATCCATTGAGAAAATGGCACTAACTCCACCAAATTAGTCTTTTAATTACTAATAAGTCGCCTCAATATGTTAGGAGGCGAATGTAAATTATAAGTTTCGCTAACACTTGGGGGGCATCACACACAATCGAGCACACCTGCTATCACTTTCATCTCTCTTATTATTTGTATCTCCCTGTTTTCTCTATATTTCTCGAAGTAATAAAATATTCAGGCAACTTTAGCCCTTTAATGTGGACGTACGTCATATTAACCGAACCACTCTACATTTTCGTCTTGCTTAAGTTACTCTCTCTCTCTCTCTCTCTTTATTTAATTACCGCAGTAATTACTGATCACTTGATAGATGATGTATAATACCAATTTGTGCATCATATGTTTGGCAAATTTTGAGGTACTGTAAGGGAAAAAAAAATACCAAGTGTCCAGAGGAGCTTCTAAATACAAATTGCTGTTGCATGAGCTTCCTCATTATGTCTTTACTCCATCAATGTGGACTCCATTTCAAATTTAAGAGTTCTCAAAAATAATAGTCATGTGTAATATCTTCAATCAAATGGATGCCTCTAATAGCAGAAATGTAAATTCTTTAGCTTCCTGATTCTAGGTAAAATTTGGTGGAAAAGAATTGAAAAGCAAAATAATACATGAATTTTCTCTCTCTTCCCATAGACATCCATCCATTGTGTCTTTATTCTTTTCAGCTTACTGCGGTTCAAATAGAGCACAATCTGATACATGTTGACTGTATTAAGGTGATTCCTCAGTGCCCAAAGCAGATCTTTCTTTCTTAATCTTCCTCTCACGGTGGTTGAGCCAGTTTTCACTTTCTCCAAACCCTACACTTGTTACGTTTAACGAATTCACTTGTTAATTCAACATCGGATTACCAATCAACATCGGATTACCAATGCTTAACATCCTAGTCTGCTTTTTCAAACTCTGAATCGTGTGTCGTGCAGATAGTTAACTCCTAGCATCTTCCTTAAAGTGCCATATTCAGCCCTTAAGTAAAATCAGCAAACAGCAGTGATGAATATATGAAAAAACCTAACTTCAGTTACAAGATTAGCGAGTGAGAGTAAGCGCACAAGTTGTTTTACCTCTTGCTTTTTGGAGATTAGTCTCCTAGTTGGTGGGTAGTCTGTGCTTGCGCATCTCCACCACTATACTTTCATGGACCGTTCTGCTCTAAAAGTCTTCAATACACACACATTGCTTGTTCCAAGTACATTGTCTACCAACATTCTACTAAAATTACATTAAATTGTCACTTTTGGTCTATAATTATAGTTTTTAATGAGAGGATATTGCTCCCAAATTCCAAAGTATTGACTAATCTGAAAGGTTTAGGCCAGACAGCAGTGACAAAATCCCAGTTTTTCAACAAATAGATAGGTGTAAGTCAACTTCTTAGTAAGAAATCCACTACTACAGAGGGGTAACTCATCGTGCCACTCCGGAATTTGGTATTTGTATGTGTTGGGGCTGACCGTTTGCATCACCCATTAAGCAAATTGTGGAATTGTACCAAACTCAAACTCAAATGAAAGGGACATGTTTAGGGGCTCTGCCACTCTCCAAAATAAATAATACAAATAATAACCGCATTCCTCTTAGCTTGCTATGTTTATAAATTGCTTCCCTCTCTCTGAATTTTCATTGTGTACTTGAATTTGTTTTTTTGGAGTTCTTGTGACATCAAGATATGAATCAGAGATCCCATAAAGTTTCGACTATTCCTTTGTTCTGCTTCTTGTTTCTGAGTCGCCTTGTATTCTGTCAACTGGATTATAGGTTTTATGATAGCACTTGTCCCAGCCTGACAAATATTGTCAAACTTGGTGTCTGGCCAGCTATCTCCAATGAAACTAGAATGGCTGCCTCTCTTCTGCGTCTGCACTTCCATGACTGTATTGTTAATGTACTTAGATCGTCTCA